TTCCGCCAGCCCCCACCCGCTTGTCCGGCCCTGCCCTTCCCTGCCTGCCCCATATCATGGCCTCCTTGGTTTCTCAGGGGTTGTTTTTCTTCCTACTCCAGCCTCCCAGCGTGCCGGTAGCCACAAGGGCAGGACGTGCCTCCTATCTGATAGGAGCAGCCTCTCTTGGCACTGCGGCTGGTGGTGGAGGGGCCACAGCAACAGTGGTTTTGGGCACGGGGAAGTGCTGGTGATGGGGTGGGGGGAGCCTCCAGCCAGGCTTCCTGAGCTGCACAGCCACCACTTCCCAGATAAAGGTATTGCCCAGAGGAGCCGCAGGAGCTCTCAGGGCACTGGGAAGAGCAGAGCACAGCACGCTCAGCCCCCGCACATGGGGTGTGGGATGGCAGCCTGTCTGCACCGGGGCTGGCAGCTGCCCCTGCTCCCTGCCATCCTGCTCAGCCTCCACAGCCACCCATCGGCCCCCGAGCAGGTGACACCCCAAGGTAAGTCCTTGAGACTATTTTATCTGCCAAAAGATGGGCTGGAGGAAAGCTGTCATGCTGGGCACAGGCAACGAGCACCCTACAGCAGCCAGAATCTGCAGGACTGAGGAGGAGACATTCCAGGAGAGTGGGTAGGGTGTGTTCAACGTGGGTGATGGAGCCCCGTTTTCACCCATGGGACACCCTGGATTACCTGGAGCAAAGGGATGTCCCTGGCCTTTGCGGGCAGGGCCTGGTTGTCCCCAGGTGCCCCTTTGGGATGGCAGGCTGCAGCTCCCAGCTGCACAGGTGGTAGGGGAGTTCCCTGCTCATCAAAAGCTCTTGGAGTTACCATGACAAGGGTCTGAGCAAAATTCAAGCTAACATCTGCTAGCACAGCTCTGCACTGCAGATAATGCTGTGGCACTGCTGGGCTAATCCAAATGCTCCTGAACCATCGTTGTCATGACCTTACTGCCCCACCAAGCATCTTTGGCTCAGCCAGTAGCTGGCCCAAGTCTGGCTCAACTTTCTCCAACTTTCCAACTTTCTCCAGTTTCAGGCACTCTTTGAGGCCCTCCTTAGCCTTTTAACACTTTCTGTAACACCGTAAGAAACATTAACTGAACAAATCCTGTCAATCTCCTGGTGGTATCTTCAGCCCTGCCCCAGGTCTCTGGCCGCGGCAGGCTCAGGAGCATGTTTCGAGTCACCCACCATGGGGGCAGTGGGAGGAAGGATGTCCTCCTTCTGCCCACAGCCTCTGCATCATCCTGTGCCCCAAGCTGCTGCCCAAGTGCAGCTGATGTGGGCTGCAGAGCTGTGTGGCCACTCTTCCTAGGAAATGGCGTGCACTCTGCAAAGATGCTCTGGTAACCCCCAGGAGCAGCTTGGCCTCCCACCAATGCCATGTGTCCCTGTGGCACTGGGCTATTGGGACCTGGACACTCAGTCCCCTGGTGCTGGGGGCTAGGGGGGTCATGGAGCTGGCATGAGGACTGGGGAGGGGGCAATGGGGAGCAAACAGGGAAGAGGAGCAGGGGGCTGTGGTCTGTGAGGAGGGGATGTGGTCTGGGGGTGGAATGCAGCACAGGGCTGGGAAAAGAGGAACAGGGCAAGGGAATGGACAGGTTGAGCACAGAGGTGCCAAGAAGGTGGCAAGGACATTTAGGGACTATCCCTTATTTTTCATCCAGGAAGGGCTCAACTGGCAGCACAGAGGGTGCATCACAGAGAACAGATGCACTCAGCACATGGAGCAGGGCCAGGCAGAGGCAGTGAACTTGTTGTTGGGTCCTTCAGCTGGGAACAGCCCCTGGGCAAGGGGGCACATCCCAGGAGGAAGAGGAGGAAGAAGGGCTGGAGCAGGTCTTGGGGCAGAGGTAGTGGGAGAGAAGGAGGTACTACAGCAGCCCTGCTCATCAAAAGCTCTTGGAGTTACCATGACAAGGGTCTGAGCAAAATTCAAGCTAACATCTGCTAGCACAGCTCTGCACTGCAGATAATGCTGTGGCACTGCTGGGCTAATCCAAATGCTCCTGAACCATCGTTGTCATGACCTTACTGCCCCACCAAGCATCTTTGGCTCAGCCAGTAGCTGGCCCAAGTCTGGCTCAACTTTCTCCAACTTTCCAACTTTCTCCAGTTTCAGGCACTCTTTGAGGCCCTCCTTAGCCTTTTAACACTTTCTGTAACACCGTAAGAAACATTAACTGAACAAATCCTGTCAATCTCCTGGTGGTATCTTCAGCCCTGCCCCAGGTCTCTGGCCACGGCAGGCTCAGGAGCATGTTTCGAGTCACCCACCATGGGGGCAGTGGGAGGAAGGATGTCCTCCTTCTGCCCACAGCCTCTGCATCATCCTGTGCCCCAAGCTGCTGCCCAAGTGCAGCTGATGTGGGCTGCAGAGCTGTGTGGCCACTCTTCCTAGGAAATGGCGTGCACTCTGCAAAGATGCTCTGGTAACCCCCAGGAGCAGCTTGGCCTCCCACCAATGCCATGTGTCCCTGTGGCACTGGGCTATTGGGACCTGGACACTCAGTCCCCTGGTGCTGGGGGCTAGGGGGGTCATGGAGCTGGCATGAGGACTGGGGAGGGGGCAATGGGGAGCAAACAGGGAAGAGGAGCAGGGGGCTGTGGTCTGTGAGGAGGGGATGTGGTCTGGGGGTGGAATGCAGCACAGGGCTGGGAAAAGAGGAACAGGGCAAGGGAATGGACAGGTTGAGCACAGAGGTGCCAAGAAGGTGGCAAGGACATTTAGGGACTATCCCTTATTTTTCATCCAGGAAGGGCTCAACTGGCAGCACAGAGGGTGCATCACAGAGAACAGATGCACTCAGCACATGGAGCAGGGCCAGGCAGAGGCAGTGAACTTGTTGTTGGGTCCTTCAGCTGGGAACAGCCCCTGGGCAAGGGGGCACATCCCAGGAGGAAGAGGAGGAAGAAGGGCTGGAGCAGGTCTTGGGGCAGAGGTAGTGGGAGAGAAGGAGGTACTACAGCAGTGTTGGGGGCAGCAAGGCCACCTCTGTTCTTCACACATCTGCATCTTGAGACTGTCCCCTTTTCTCTGACAGCTGGGACAGGCATCTATGTGACAGCAAAGCCACCAATGCTTGGGATGGCGATCCTGCCAGGTGTGATGCTTCAGCTCATCCCTGCAATGAGAGGGGAGAGCAGCTTGCTAAGCGGGGCAGAGAAACCCACAGCCCCACAAGAAGTTCAGAGGCTGGGGTGGGAGTATTCCCCCCTGCTCAGGACCTCACACCCCATGCCAGCCCCAAGGCCCTTTCCCTCTCCCCGGGGCACTGCTCCTCCTTATCTCACTTCCGCGCACTTTCCTGCATGAGCAGGGCAGGGGGTGCTTCCCCCTGATGGCAGGGCCAGGCCCTGAGCCCCCCTCTGACCACAGGGTTATTTTGGGATGTTTATTTGTCCCAAAGGACCCCGAGTGCTGAGGAGGGGGGAGCAGTGAGGCCAGTTGGTGGGGAGCTGTGCTGCCAGCCAGGACCCAAGTGTGAGCTAGCAGCTGGCACGGGTGCTGCATCCCTCCCCACCACTCCAAGCTGGCAGGGGGCATCTGTGCCATATCCTTGTCCACATTGTCCTGGGCATCTGCACAGACTGGCCTATGGGGCAAGCCAGCCAGTGGGAATGTGGCAAGGGGACAGAGGTGGGATAAACAGGTTTGTGTCCAGGGGATCCTTCATGACCACATTCTTCCCAGATGCTGCACTGCTGGCTGGGGTGCCTGAGGACATTCTCTGCTTCTCCCGCTCCTTTGAGGACCTCACCTGCTTCTGGGATGAGGAGGATGCAGTGAGTGGGACATGCCACTTCTACTACTGGTACAGCAGGTAGGAAGTGGTGGGGACACATCCAAGCCTCCCCCTTTCCTGCACAGAGGGCAGCACAAAGTGCTGCAGCTCTCCATGCCATCCCAGTGGCCTCCGCTGAAAGGAGAGTTACTGTGGAGCCCACAGGAGCTACCTAGCAGCCACTACACACCCTGCAGGAGGGCTGGGACCATGGCTGCATCTCAGTCGCATGGAGGTGGTGCCTTAGAGGGGGTGGGGGCACAGAGAAGGAGTTGGTGACACCAAGATGTCAGTGCCTTGCTCCAGGTTCCCTCTCCTCCAGCCTGGCACTGGGCAGGAGGCATGGGGTGCTGCAGGACCCCACTCTCCATTCCTCAGGGATGTGCCCACAGCATGCACAGTTTCCACGTGGCACCAGGGGGCCAGCAGGACTCGGCACGTTTGCGTCTTCCCCAGCCAGGATGTGCGGCTCTTCACCCAACTCCACCTCCATGTCCTGGATGCCACCACCAACCAGACCAAGTACTTGCGGGAACTCAGTGTGGATGCAGTGGGTGAGTCCCTCCCACTGGGTCATACCCCTGCAACACCAGGACTGTCCCCAGACCTGGGTCCCCTGCCCTTCAACCCACTACTGGCAGCTGGCAGCACGCTGCATGCCGGGCATAGAGGCAGTCCTGGGGAACAGCTGGATGACCAGGGTGTGCCCAGCCAGGGGCTGCTGCAGAAAGACAAATGTCCCTACTCATTCCTCACAGGTCTCATTGCCCCCCCGGCAAACATCACAGCCCGCTGGGCAGGGGCGGGGGGGTGTGCCGCGCCTGTGGGTTGCGGGCCGCCCGCCACTCGCCGACTACATGAACTTCTTCCTCTACAAGGTACGGTGCTGCCCTGCTGGCTCCTCAGAGATGCCCTGCAGCACCACGCTGGATCCCAGTGGGCTGCGCCCCGGGGATCCCTCCAGCCTTCTGGCCATCAGCACTCACATGCCCACGGCTGGGGCAGCTGCCATCTCCCCAGGAGTGGAGCAGGTACAGAGAAGGGCCAGGGATGGGCAGGGGGATTAGGGGGCCTGCAGCTACTTCCCATCTTGGCCCTTCTCCTGCAGGGTCTGGTCCAGGCCAACACCTGGGTGGTCCTCAGGGACCTGCAGCCAGGTGTGAGGTACCACATCCAAGTACGCAGCAAGCCCGATGGCACCTCTTTGGATGGTGTCTGGGGGCCCTGGTCACAGGCAGTGTCTGCAGAGACACCCCGCTCCTCCGGTGAGTGGCCATCCCCACCACCAGGGTGCTGGCTGGCACAGCAGGGAGGCACCTACACCTGGGACTGTGAGGGGTGGGGGTCTTGGGGTAGGCACGGTACAGCAAATGGGTTTTTGGGGCTCCTGGGGTAAGCAGCCCCCTCTCTGCCCGGGCTCTCGCCTGCCCAGGAGACATCGGGCTGAGCTGCAGCACCCCTGACCTGCAGCACGTGCGCTGTGAGTGGAGCTGGGAAGCCACAGAGCCAGGCAGCTCCCACCAGCTCTTCTACCGGCCACCTCCGAGTGGGGCCAGCCTGAGGTAAGGGGCATGAGTACATGGCTGTCAGGCAGAAGGGTGGCACATCCCAGTGACAACCAGCCCTGCTCAGTATCCCACAACGAACTCTGTGCCCTGCTCTGTTCTACCCACCCCGCATCAACCTCAGACCTCCCCACTACCACTCCTGGCCACACTGCCCCTCTGATTACGGGCAGTGCTGGCTTTCCTGGGCAGGAGGAGCAAGGCAGCACTGGCTATGGGGTCTGGGTGGCCCCAGAGCAGGGCTGGCAACAAGGTGAGGGGACGGCTGACTGGCTCCCCACTCCTTGCACAGGAAAGATGAATGGCAGCAGTGCGAGGAAGTGAGTGAGGGGGTTCAGGGCACCCACACCTGCACCTTCCAGCCCAGGGCTGGCAGCGCCATCTCCGTCCTGGTAAACATCACCCAACCTCATGTGCCACCCACTCTCAGCTACTTCAAGGAACCCTTCTGGCTGCACCAGGCCGGTGAGCCCCCAGCACCACTGTAGCCCTTGCCTTTGTCCATGCCTAGCTGGCAGGGGACACAACATCCCATGTCTTGGTCCAATGCTGCAACATATTCCCATCCCAAACAGTGCTCACAGATGCCCCACAGCTGGTGCAGGCAACAGTGTCACAGGGCCAGCTGAGCCTGCAGTGGCTGCCACCCCTGGAGGTGCTGGCGGAACAGCTGGACTACCAGGTCCGTTACGCTGTGGAAAACAGCAATGAGTGGAAGGTAACACATGGCCAGGGCTCCTGCAAGCAGTTCTGCCCACCTGCACTGTCTGCACACGGCCCTTGTAGGGTCAGGCAGGATTGTCCCACACCCCAGTGCTGCCCCTCGCAGCCATCATCTCCAGCTAAGCTCTGCTCTGCAGGTCTTGCAAGTCCCTCGGGCAGCCAGGAAAGAAGTCCTGGACCTACAGCCAGGCGCCCGCTACCACGCCCAGGTGCGGGCTCAGCCCAGCGGACCGTGGTACCAGGGCAGCTGGAGCACCTGGTCCAAACCTGTTGTGGTTGATGCCATGGCCAGTGCAGGTAAGGGACAGGGCAGGAGCAGAGGCTGCAGCCAGAGGAGCCACACGGCCGAAGGCAGGAGACCAAGGGCGCTGGGAGTGGGATGGGGAGCGCCAGGCAGAGGGTGACCGAGCTAAGAAGGGTTCGCTGGAGGTGGGTCTGGGGACGGCTCCAGTCCCCGCACTGCTCCTTCGACACAGGCTGGGTCATCCCGAGCATCACGGTGGTGCCGCTGCTCTGCGCAGGGCTGCTCCTGGGGCTGCGCTGCACCTTCCCCTCCCTCTACAGGTAAGGGCTACACCTGGGGCAGGTGGGGGGGAGGGCAAAATCAGGCCTGGGCACCCCGGGAGCGGGACTTGCCTTCGACACCCCTTCCCCTCGCCCAGCAACGTGAAGCAGAAGCTCTGGCCGCCCGTCCCCGACCTGCACCGCGCACTGGGCGGCTTCCTCCGCGACAGCGGCAAGCACGGCCAGGTGA